GTCCTTCATTATTGTTTTTAGTGATGGCAAGACGGCCTGACGTCGTCCAAAAAGGCCCTGCGGAAGCAATTCACTGCTCTCCTCGTCCGTTCAGGGGCTTATTTTACACATTTTACACAAAATCGCAAAGCACCCACCACTAGTTTTTTACAGAGAATTCAAAATATCGCCTAAAACACCATGAAAATTCGCTTCGTTGCCATGGTAACCCCAGAGTTGTCATGAATTTTGTAATGATGAGTGTGGTCGCACACTGACTCTGTACAGACTGTCAGTGTCCATGCCATCCAGCCTGATCCAGGCATGTTACTTTGCACTTCCACAGCCAAGCGCTAGCCTTTTTAGAAGCAAATGTACAGTGATTTTGTGCCTTCAGTTGCGCTGAAAAGTGAAAGTACAGGACTTCTGCATAGGAAAGTAATGATCTCCGACATTTTGGCTGCTTTTCGGACGTTTCCTTTTTCGGACCGGTTTTCGGAAGAGCCTTCAAAAATCGGACACTGTCCGAAAAATCGGACGGTTTGGCAGCACTGCAACTGCCATACGTAACGTCGTTAGGCGTACGAGACGAGAGTGATCCAATGCGGATTCAAATGGACTTCCGCAGCGTCCAACGCCTGAGCTAACACCCCTCCAAATATTAATTGGCGGCTGCACTGTGTGTGTTTTTCGTTTCTATTTTGTTTTTTTGATGTGGCAGCACTGAGCAATGTTTTTTCACGCGGTTTGCGTGAGACTCGGCTGGAAACCGAGGTTTCCGCATCCGTAGGAACGCCACCACCCTTCAAGGATCAAGGCGCAGATGCAGCTCCTAAAGCGGTGGGAGGTGAGTAGATCAGCTCACCAGAAAGCGGTCAAAGACCGAAAATTCCATTCACTGCAACCATGTTCTCCTAGTGCCAGCCTGCCAGGCCCACAGTTCCCAATTAACTGCGGGTCGCGGCACGGCTGGAAAAAATCATTCCGCTTCCAAGCAGGACTCTGTTTCTCAATCATGGTCTTAGACCATCCCACTATGCCTGCATGCCGCTATGATATTGTCATGATAATAATTACAGTGAGGAATCCTGCCACAACGCCTGCACAAATACACTCCTTTTACCAGATGCTCCGTTGAATAATGAAGTTCTGGAAAGAAATACTAAACAGCATTAGCTGCCTCAGAAACCACCGGCGTGGCGGGAGGCTCTTGTTGATCAATTCTTTGTTGATATTTCCAAATAATGTTCTAGACCCTCTAAGGCACACTATACAGGACCTTAGGAGGGCAAAGGAAATGCGGCGCTTAACAAATGCATGCCATGATATGCATAGGGTTCATTGCGCTTGTCAGCCAGCAGCGATGCGATTCTCTTGTACAGGCTGGTTGCCGAACGCCCAAAACCACCTGACGCGTCATGACCACAGGGGCAAACGACGCATGTTGGACATTCCGGACCCGCTCCTCGTACTTAGATCAGATGGAGAAAAGGCGGAAGCGTTTAACAATTTTTTCATTTCGGAAAGCCAGAAGTCCGTCTCCGGACCAACTGAAGCCGTGCCAGAGATTGGCGTGTCGCGCATCATCGGAAGCGAACTGAAGGAAATCATCACCACCCAGGAGGAGGTCAGAAAACTCCTTTCCGCTCTTGATTTCCGGAAGTCGGCTGGGTACGATGGCATCCCGACGAAATTGCTCAAGATCACTGCAGACGAAATATCGTGCTCCCTCGCAACACTTTTCAACGAGTCTTTCTCGCGAGGCGAGCAGCCACAGGACTGGCGCGACGCCACTATCAGTCCTCTACACAAGAAAGCCTCTCGTGCAGAGGTCACCAATTATAGACCAATCTCGCTCCGAAGCGTTGTCAGCAAGGTTCAGGAGAGGATTGTTCACCAACGCCTCTACACCCACATTGAGCCCCACCTACCGGCCGACCAATCTGGATTTCGATCTAAGGATAGTACTGAACTACAGCTCTCCCGCCTAGTGCATGAGATTTCCGCCAGCCGAGATTCCGGTCAGGCAGTGTCAGCATGCTTCTTTGACTTATCAAAGGCTTTTGACCGAGTCTGGCATGCTGGCCTCCTGGCCAAACTCGAGCACCTTGGTGTCCGTGGCATTGCCCTTACCTGGCTCACAAGCTACCTGACTCGCCGCCGACAACGCGTCAAGGTTGGCTCCGCTTTGTCATCATGGAAATCCATTCCAGCTGGAGTACCCCAGGGCTCTGTCCTGGGGCCTCTTCTTTTCCTGGTGTACACGATCGACCTCCCCCCAGCATGTACAAACTCTCACACTAAATGCAGCCAGTTCGCCGATGACACGGCACTCATCGCGACGCATTACACGAGGGATTTGTCAGCTGCATTCCTCCAACGTGCCGTGGACGCAGCAGGACGATGGTTGAAGGATTGGCATCTCCTCGTCAACACCACGAAAACCGTCGTCCTTTCCTTCCAACCCCAACACACCATCCACATCACGCTCCACTCGACTCGGCTGCAGCAGGTCCACCAACATAGGCACCTTGGTGTTACACTCCAAGACGATTTGCGATGGACCCAACACATCATAGAAACCACCAACAAAGCCAAAAAACTACTACACCAACTCCACAAGACACGTGGCACAATGAACGCTTCCAGCCTATTGTTAATATACACAACCTACATCCGACCCGTTCTCGAATATGGCAGCCTTGCCCTCTCGAACACCACACAGCAACAGTGGGACACACTGGAGAGAATTCAACGCCGTGCTATACGCATCTGCCTTCGGATTCCCCTCTTTGCACCAGTTCACCACAGCTCCCTCCTCCATCACGCAAAGCTCCCCACCCTTAGCTCACGACTCCTTATTAAACAAGCCCTACTAGCATGGGACATCCACCACCCAAACCTCCCCACCACACCTGCAACAACCACATCTTGCACCACAACGTCAACACCAACCATACACCCTTCGACAGACAAGGACCTACTCCATCGGACACGCACACACGAACAGGCACCGAGACTCCCCCATCAACAGTGCCCTCACCCTCTACAACTCACTCCCTATCGACATCACAACCCAACCTCGTAGAAATTCTTTCCGAAACAATGCATCCAGTCTTCTTTTGAGCAGTACCTGCTCCTGCTCCGCGCATCCCCTGGTTTCTGATATCTCGAACGTGTACTTAACTATCTCGATCACCCCTGCTAACATTATTGCCCCCGCTTGTTTTTCATGATCCATTGCTTCTTGCCTCCCGGTTAATTTCCATCTAGCTGTTTCTGGCTAGTACCAGTTCTATCGCACTTATTAATCATCCTTATTGGCGTCACGCCATCGTGGAATAAAAGAATATTACTTCCTTCGTTTTTCCTGTTCATGTCGGTGATAGACAGTGGCCAGGGGGTGCAGTGCGGTTCGAGGCAGCATGAGGGTTAAACATCCATACATGTACATCAATGAGTGTGCGCTCGAAACGACTGCCCCACAGTCAACTGACACCGATATCGAGACGTGCCTGGTCCTCGGTGCCTGCCGTGCGATAGCGAAGTCGCTCTCCGGTTAATGGTTGTAAACTTGGCTCAATGGCCACATTATTGCATATGATCTTCAAACGTGAAGTCTTTAATCTAGTTGTGTCTTATCGATGGGAAACCGCCAACTGGGCACGATGCCCGCCATCTTCCTTGCACCTCCACCCATCTGCTGTACACTGCCTCCCCATCGCCTTTTTCCGCGCTTTCATGCTCACACCTGCCTGTTGCCCGCTACCCTCCTGGCACTTCTCCTGTCGCGCCTTGGCCCGCGCCAGCTTTCTCCCTATACCTTGCACCAGATTTAGCGCTAAATTTGTTTATGCTTGTGGCCCTATGTGTTTATAACCATACTGTTGGGTAGACCCGAGTATCAGTTGTCTGATGATTGCCTAGCGGCATGAAACTAAGAGTTACAACCAACCTGACCGTCCCCCGTTTAGTCTGCTATGTACGTCACAGGTTCCATAATGGCGTAGAACAGGCTTGCCTGAAACCATTGCGAGTTGCACAAAACCCACGAGAGGTTTGTAAAAAACCCAAAAAAGCTCATTCTTCTGCATGAATTTTAGTTTGTCATCGACGGGAAGGTGTCGCTAAACACGCCTGTCACATGGATCACAAAAATGGCAACTGAGCCTTGTGTCACTCATGATGTGTAGAAAACTACTTTATGTATTGTATAATTATTACAAAGGCAGAAGAGAAGAGAGACAGCCGGCTAGGTCATTGTTGTAACGCTGTGTTTCATGCACATAGCAAAGCTAAGGCAATCCTCAGACAACTGAGTTGTCTGAGGATTGCCTTAGCTTTGATATGTGCATGAAACACAGCGATACAACAATGACCTAGCCGGCTGTCTCTGTTCTCTTCTGCCTTTGTGGTAATGCTCCATCCTTGTGGTGTTGAGCACTCTAGGCAATCTGGGAACTCTCGCTATTGTGTTTGTATTGTATATTATGATGCCAATTTAGCCCATGATTGACTCAGACTGTACACTATACACTGACTGTGCATGTACCTGGACCCCTCCAATACATGACAGTTCATTTCGACGTGCGCAACGGCACGCGCGCGGTGTCCTAGAAGACGTTTGCTAGGCTTCGCACTGACGCATCCAAGGCTGTTCCTGCCATTGATCCAGCAGATCCTTTAGTTTGTTAGAATATGCGCAGCAAACTCTTTCACAGCATCTGTGCGTAGCTGATGTCCGTTGGTGGTGCTTGCTACAGGATTAGGAGCTGCAATGACCCTTTTCGAAGCTATAGCTGCCGCGCA